GGGGGGAAGAAGAATTAAAACATTACTGAGGAGAGGATCTCATACTGAGGGTATCTCAATAACCGGATTTCCTTATTGCGATCATAAAAATCTAAAATTGGGGATGACATTCTGCCCAGTATTCAGCATCAGATTTTTTTTCAGATGGAAAAAAAACCACCCCAAATTGATTCAAAATGGAGTCTATGCCAAAATGTTTGCCCATGGTATGGACTATTCTCATTGTTTATTAGCTTCATTAGAACTGTTTTGACAGATCCCTCCCCCAAGAGATCTAGCACAGCAAAATATCTAGCATATATTAAACGAGGTGAAAAATCCTGTATTTTTTAACATATAGGACCCATATCACACTGCTAAATCAACAATACTGCTACACAGTCAGTACCTCTGAAATCAGGCCAAAAGTGAAAATGTGAACAAACCCAGTGCCTTGTGGGAAGCTAACACTGAGTTAGCATAAAATTGGCAGAGCGTGCGTGTGGATGTGTATGGGTGTGTTACCTTATCGCCTTTTGGTCCAGGACTTCCAGAAGCTCCTCTTTCTCCTGGCATTCCCTGTAAGCCAGGCAGCCCTGTGCCTCCAGAGGCACCAGGGGGTCCAGGAGGGCCCTAAAGAGTAACAGATATTGAGAAAAGATTAAAAAAAAGAATATGAACCTGAATGACGCACATAATAGCAGGAAGCAAGCAAGTCTGTGGGTACCTTGGCACCTTCTGAGCCAGCAGGACCTGGCCCACCTCTTGCTCCAGGAGGTCCTGGAGGACCCTGTGCACCACGTTCACCTGGGATACCATTTTCACCCTGTGGCAAAGAAATGTGTTATTCTTTGTTGTCAGGCTCATAGTTTGTTAATTCCTTAGTATAATTATAGAACCATTGCTGTATGATTTACCTTAGGGCCTGGGAATCCGGGTCCTCCAATATCACCTTTTGGCCCCTGTTTATGAGAAAATAAATGCAAGTTATCCATGCGTTTTACTTAGTAAATCTGCATTGTGGTGGGCACTGTTTTGCGTATTATCCCTTAAAGCAGACTGCTCTGCTCTGCAGGGTGCTGATAGCTGTCTCACTTTGGAAAGGTAATCTAGGAAGAGCTTTTCATATATTTTTCATTGTTTTAAAATAAAGGAACTACTACTTACTGGTTCTCCAGGCTTTCCATTCTCTCCAGCTGGTCCTGGTCCACCAGGCAATCCCTATATGAAGGAACAGTATTATAATCTCTGTTACATAGATAAATTACACATTTTCTTATCTAGCAAATTTTTTTGACATGAAGATGTGTACCCAACTCCTTCCAATCCTTTACAAAGTAGGAGGTGCTAATTTGATAGCTAGAGGTTTTATGTACATAATCTACTGAGCTAGCCATGTGGTTTGCAATTATGAAATACTAAGCAATAACTTCTGTCAAGTGGTTGATCTGTCTTACTTCAAAATACGATGACATGTACCCTAATGAAAATGTTTAGAAGCCTCCTGGTTTGGTTTGGTGTTTTTTTTTTTTTCCAGCGGGGTGTGTGGGTGTTAGTCTGTTAAAAAGACTCAGAAACCAATAAACACACAGCACCTGGAGGCCGGGTGGACCTGCTGGTCCTGGTTCTCCTCTCTCCCCAGAAGCACCCTAGAATCAAACAAAAGAGAAAAAAAAAAAAAAAGAGAAGAAATTGTCTGAGAACATTTCAACATATAAACACCTCTGCACCACCTCTAATCTATGCCTCTTTATCATGATCTGATGATGACATTGCACAATCCCAAAGACTAATGTATTTTGGTGTTCTGGTGTTTGCTCTTTTCACTCCAACCGTTAGATGTAATTCAGCAGACACATTTATACTTGATAGTAGTCTGAAATGCTAGCTCTGATAAATGTTAAAGGGAGCAATAATATGCTTCAGTTTGAAAAGGTGGTAGATCCTCAAGAGCTCTAAATTGAATTTTCATTTCAACCTAATCCAGCTATACCCAACTCAGGTTTCTCCTAACAAGGTTTTGAGTATTAATTTATTAAAATAATGGCAAAGAAGAGCTCTTTTATTTGTCTTCATAAAAGGAGATTTCTTTATATCATCAAAAATATTTTCCTTCCCCTAAATCCACAGTCCCTATCTGTAGATGCCAGACCACCTTGGCAATAACTGATAATTGCCTCTTATGGGACTACCACACTTACAGTAGGTCCAGGAGGACCCGGGAGGCCAACATCACCATTCTTCCCAGCAATACCCTATACAAAGACAAAATTAGGTTATGGTTATGGGTTGATATAATTTTTATAAGACTCGCCAAATTATTATTAATTAATAATATGTCATTATTTAATTAATTATATTATTAAACAAAATGTTAATGAAACTTACAGGTGTTCCAGGTGGTCCACCAGGGCCTCTTTCTCCATTCTTACCTGGTGCACCCTTACAAAAGAGAAAAATCACATTTAAAATACCTGTTCTGGTCAGTATACAGTAACTTAAAGCTGCAGCACCAGCTAGCCCCGCTATGGAGCAACTTATTTTAACATTTGACTGGTCAAGCGTAAGCACAGGAGAAGTGGAGAAATCCCGCTCACCTCATTGCCCTTAGGACCAGGGAAACCCATTACACCTGGTTGACCACGTGGGCCTGCAGGGCCAGGTGGACCAGAACGACCAGATTCACCCTGGTTGCCCTGGAATAAGCAAAAAAGGAAATGAAGACATGGTATCTGTTAGGTGAAATAAATGAATATCCATGACTCATTAAATAGTGAGTCAAGGTGAGATAAGGCTAGAGACAGTCATTCAAAACTTACTATGTGTTTTTCACCTAAGCTTCTGTATACTCTGTATTTTAAATAGTATTAATCAACAAGATTTACAGAATGTTATTACAACAAGACAGCATATAAAGTGCTCTGGTAATTAAAACAACAAAAAAAGAGACAATTAATTTGACTATGATAACAACCTGTCATGTAGATATTGTGGGATGAGGGTAAGGTCAGTAGGAGGACTAGTAAAAAGTATTTGCACAGTGTACATACCGGAGGGCCAGGTTTCCCATCGCTTCCAGGGCTTCCTGGAATTCCGGGCAAACCCTACAATTGAAGAAAAAAAAGTGTTAATCTTCAGTTTAAAATGTGTAGTATTATGTTGGAATACATAAATATAAATATATAAAAATACATTTTAAAATACTTGCTTGGTTTTAACCGCTTTAATAAAGATTAAAACTCCTCCCATTCCCCTCCTCCCATTAAGGGGAAAAATTGGAGCAAGCTAACAAATTCTTTGATTAGGAGTTTATCATTTTCTCTGAGATTCATTGTATTTAATCAAGGCATCAGGCATTAATCAACATGCAGAAAAAATGTATTCTTTCATTATTTGGGAAGAAAACTAATTTCAGATGGTAAAAATCAAGGAATGAAACAATTTTCACTATGTCCCTGTACTTAAAAGCAGCACAATTTATAACGTATTTTTAGTTAACTTGTTTTAAATTTTTAAATATTATTTTTGTTATATTTTAAATAATTCATTTTCATTTCCAATAAAATCTTGTTTAACTCCCAGAAGCCTGCAGTAAGGCTGACTGTAGAATTTCAGTGTACTTGTCAGCAGTTGCTAATTCTTCGTATAGCTCACAGAATGTTATTACATTCTGTACATATTACACAATAGGTTATCTCTGAAAATCTTCTTGATATGTACTATGAAATCCGGACCGACGGCTTATTTGCATTAATTGCAAATAAGCAATAAATATAATAAATTAAATACTTAAGTATTCAAATATATGAATTAAAGTATGTTAATTATTTAAATTTTAAATTTAGGTTTATTTAAATACAAAACCTCAAATATCTATTAAATATAACTAACATAATACAATTTATAATAAATTATAAAATCTGCTAAAATGTAAATACACAATACAGAAAATAATCCAATGCTAATTCACACTAAAGCTATATCTCATGATAGTGCATGGTATACTTTGGGGACTGGGGAGCATGTTCAGCTTCATATAAGCTTCCTCATTCACTTGTGCCAGATGTTCTCAGAACACTCCCTGTCTCTGCATGGTTATCTATTACACTGTGAACTAATTGGACTTCTCTGTTGTATCAGCTCAGATGAGGCATCTCTAATAGAGTTTATCTCATTTTCTTGGAGATGTCCTGCCTTACTCTCATTCCGGGAAGACCTGGGCCTCCATCTTGTCCACGCTCTCCTGCAGGTCCACTTGGGCCAGGAGGACCTGGGCTACCACGTTCACCTGCAGGACCCTAAAAAAGAGATGTTGAAATTCACAGCAAGGAAATCGGCATCATATTGAATCTGAAATTGTTCATTCAAATCCACGTAGATTCCACAGAAGTTTGGTGGTTTTTTTTTAAGGAAGACTCATACCTTTTCACCTGGAAGTCCATTGCTACCGGGTAAGCCACGGAAACCAGGGGAGCCCTGCCAAATAAAAGAACAAAATATGGATCATAGGCAATATGACTTAGGTAATGGCAACTGTTTTTTCTAAACTATTTATCCTTAGACATATTATTACAAAAATTAATGAAAGAAATACATGGAAATGACATTCCACTGTGGCAAGTCTACAGAACTACTTTTTCTTCGGATATAACCCTCCTGTTGAAATCATAGCCAGTCCTCCACTTTTTTTTTTAAACCAGCCCTGCATTAGTTACTTTACTCATGAATTTTCTAAATTCGTATCAAAAATAAAACAACACATTGAACAATTATTTTCTTCTAATTTGATACTGAAAAGAACTCTATTGTATTATTTCAATATTTATATTTACTACTATCTTCATTGCTTAAAAGAAATTTGGATTATAAAATTTAGTTTGCTGCCCCATTTATATATTTAATATTATTAATGTGCTCACTGTGCATCTTTGGTTTCCTCATAGCTTCACCAAACACTACAATCAATTATTAAATTAGGAATTATAAATAGATCAGTACAATTTCCTTTGATTCAGATGGGAACACAAATCTAAAATTTGTAGGGGTGTTGCTATTTATTTTGTTGAATAAATCAATTCAAGAATTCGTTTGTAAGAATGCTCTTTGGAAAGTTATTGAATCTACTAGCTAAAAAACCCGTGGCAAAGAAGATTTTACAACATAGAAGACATCCTGACAATACCGTTGTTATTGACATTATTGACCTTTAAGTTCTATTGACAATACAGATGCTGACATAAAGACATATCCTGAATGTAGAAGAATTTGCATTAATTTAACTTTCCAGAGCTGAAATTTTGTGATTGTTCATTTTTGTTAACTGAGAAGTAATTTTGAAATTTGTATAATTTTTTTTTTCCCCAATCCGTGTGTAGTTCTCATAGTTTATGGTTGCTTTTCAGCACAAAGCTTTCGATACAGCTTCCAGATATACAAGATCACTGCTTCTTCAGTATAAAAAAAAAAAAAGAAATTAATTTATTTCAGACCCAGGTAGATCCAAGCGCTGCAATTCAGATGAGGAACTAGATAAGAATTCTCCCCCGTTTTGTAATCCAGTTTCACATCTGAAATTTGCTGAGAACAGATATGGAGCCAAATTTCTCCTCAAAGTATTTTGAACACCAGATTTTGTTGTCTCCTTATTAACTCAAAATGTACCTAGAGTGCATGGTACAGCAGCTTACCCTTTCTCCGGGTGTACCAGGTACGCCATTCTGGCCGGGTTCACCATTTGCACCTCTTTTGCCTTCCTCACCAGGAGGTCCAGGAGCACCTGGGGTGCCATTTTCACCCTGGCAACAACAAAAAAAAGCCCACCAGTGAAGTCAGAAGTCTCCAAAAGAAAACCCTGGTTTTTGTATAGGGAATGATTCAGAGTTCAGACTTCCTTGGAAGAAGTCTCTGAATGCATTTTAAAATCACTTACACGCTCGCCTTTTGGGCCTGGATCTCCCTTTGCACCATTCTTACCAGGTTCTCCCTAAACAGGAGAAAATCCCATTAAAATTATGGATTGCAACAGGGTATTATTCTAGAAATAGACGTGATATCTTTCAAATTATTGACTCATTTTTATTATTTTACATTCTGCAAATGAATTAGCAGACATTAGTTGAACCCGGATGTGAAATGCATGGGGATCCTTAAAAATCCCGTAAAGGAAAGAAGTGATACAATCTTAAACACCACTGAGTAAAATTTTATGGTTTTGAGCTATTTCAGACATCATTGTGACTCTTACTTGAAGTCCTTAAGTGTTTCTTTGAGAAAGAACTACGTGTGGTATAAGGCTGTCAGGAAAGAGGGTACTGGGGTAAATGAACATATAAGAAAAGGTACAACTCACTAGGTGGAGTGGACTGTAGACTCAGCCCACAGGAATTTGAACAGGTGAAATTAGGATTTTAAAATAACAGATTTTGTCTAATGTAGCCATTTTAGACAAGCTATTTTTCTGTTGTGTGTTTCTGATTTGATAGATAACTTAGGAAAGCAAATAAATATTATCATATTTATGTATATTTTTATATATAGCAATATAAAAAGTAATGTGTGAAAGAGAAATATACATTTGTAAAGATAATTGCCTATTGTTATTATAAAATAATTTATTAGACCATCTCAAGTGAATAGGACAAATGCAGTGTGTTTTTTTAATGGTATCAGAACTACTTCGGTCATATTTGTTTGTACAACCAGAGTAATGAATATTAGTAGCTCACCGGAGTGCCTTTTGCTCCAGGATTTCCACTTGTACCCGGAGAACCAGGAAGACCGCGGCCTCCTGGCAGACCAGGAGCACCGGGAATACCAGAAGGTCCCTGTAGAGAGTGAAGAGCAGACGGGGATGAAGAGCATGGCATTGTTGGACTCTGCCCAGTCCAAACACAGACTCTCACCAACACAGTGCAGCAAAAGACAGTGATATGAAAAGTACCCACCATTTCACCCTTGTTGCCAGGGCTTCCAGCTCTTCCAGGAGGGCCCTGAAAAAAAAATTTATAAATAACTGATGCTGCTAACCTAGGACTAAACCAAAGGACATGTAGGGCTTTGTGAAGAGCAGGTGGCACAACACTTCTCAGTTCCCATGTGGTATTTACGTACCTGAGGCCCGGGTGGCCCAGCATGACCCTGAGGACCAGGTTCCCCTCTCTCTCCAGGACTACCACTAGAACCAGCAGGACCAGGAGGACCAGCTTCACCCTACAGAAAAACAGTAAAAGGGGAAAATGAATGCATTTTAGTCTTGTCTCCAGGGCAATGAGTATTAGCTTCATGGCTTCGTCCTCTGCTGTGGCATCTTTGTGTGACTCGGGAAGAAGGTTACCACCATCATAACCTGAGTGCAAGAGCCAAATCAGCATGGCGACCCCATTGCTGAGGCACAAGGTACCAATGCCCTCCAGCCAGCACATGCTGCACAGCTCCCCTGTTGTGGGAAGTTCACCTGAGCCCCTCCCATAATGCAACCTAAAGCATTGGGTCTACCACTCAATGGTGTTACGGGATGGGTATTCGTGAAGGTAATGAGGGTAGGGTTTGTCTCACGCTGCATAGGAAAACACATCAGTTCTAGGCTTGCAAACACTGTAATAGCAGCCAGAAAAAGGAGGACTCATAAAATAAGGATGTATAGTGACATAAGCTGGCTAACTAGAGAAAGGACCAAATCCTATATTAGCATGCATCTTTAGCTGAATACCTTAAAACCTGGAGAGCCTGGAAATCCTGCAGTTCCAGGGGGACCTGGGGGACCCTTAAAAGTGAAAGAAATACTATTAATACCAGAGGTAAAAGCCATATGGAATTAATCTTAAGTCAAAAAAGGCCTGATTATGAGATTTTTCTCTGAGTAAGGAAACGCCTGGCAAAATAGCAAATATAAATCATGCTGTAGAAGAGGAAGTTTGGCTAGTCCTAAAATATCACACCTACATCTTAGTTACCCTGATTTTTACTTGTTCAGCTAAATTTCTGTGTTTTAAATTTAAAAAAAATGAAAGTTATCATTAAAGAGATGAAGTTATAAAAATTGTTTTAAACATGTTTTAATTATAAAAAAAGGTGTAGGAGAAAAAGAAGCCAATATAGCTGTAACACATACAAGTGGACATGCTCAGGTTTCTAGGCAGGTGGAAAAGAAAAACTTTTGCCCCCCTCAGACAGCTAAATAATGTATTTGATAAGACCATTCAAAATTTGATCTGCACTGAGATCAGCAATTCCATCCATCTATATGTTCTCTGAGAACAGTCTGGTTTTGGATTTATGCATTTTCTGATTTACAGTGTTAAAGCTTTCCTATTTCACTGTATGCTTCAAGTATCTTAACCAACACAGTTATGAAATATAATTCAATAAAATGCTCATTCTTAAACCAGTGCACCCCCAGTCTTCGGTTTGCCAGCACTGTGGAACATCAGCTAGAAATAACTAGACTTGAGCAACACAAATACTTAAAGTCAAATATCTCTAAGTCTTCTTACAGGTGGACCTGCTGCTCCTGGAGATCCGTCTTTGCCATGGGTACCCTACGGAAAGAAGAGAGGTGTTGGGTACAGAGCACTACCCTGGACACAGAACCCACATGCTTTAATGCCCATGACTCACGGACCATCTTTTTGTGTCTGTACATTCCCACTTAGTTGACCAAGACCCAAGGATTCCTCAACTGTGAAATTCTAAAATAATAATTAACTAAATATTATTGAAGTCACTTTATGTGACTTGTACTGTAACAATGAGACAGCAAGATGCAAAAATGTACTCTCAGATTTCCTAAGGAAGTAACAGTTACGAAGCATCATCTGTGTGGCCAGTGCTTAAGGTTAAATAAGATTGCAATAGATGTTGTATATTTCAAAGTAACAGTTAGTTCTAAGTCACAAGACTAAAATTTCACTCCAAAAACCTAGCAAAGAGTGGCATGATTTAAATCCTGTTGCCTATCTTGTAGACATGTTAGACCAGCTCTGCTGCTCAGGTTATGTAGTGTTTGTATGAACAAGTCAGTTATTATACTTTAGCTGTGCTTTGTTGATTGTGTTGGGCGCTATGAACTACAACTTCCTTCAGAGCAAAGAATATACACCCTAATCTTGGTCAAAGAGTAATTTTACCTTTTTCCTGCAAGTTAATTCTGAGATAGCATTTTTCCCTCTCTTTGCCTTCTGCTGCTGCCCTTTGCTTCCACTCCTCCTCCCTATTCCTTTTGGCTGAACCTGAGCTTATGCTGAAACACTGAACTCTCCCTCAACATGTAATCTATTTATTGAAAAAGGAAATAGAGAATAAGATGTGAAAATGTTGTGAGTTAGAAGTGTTACGTCTTTAATTGGGGACTGAAAAGTTTTCATGTATGATTTTACCGATGCTATACAGTTTTCTAATCCTTTGCATTACAACTGTTTTAAGGTAAATCTGTGAAGCAGGGAATTCTCAACATATTGAAACAAAGTATGTGTTGCTTCTGGATAAGGGCAACAGCTGCAATTACTTACGGGGCCGCCAGGATTCCCAGGTCTTCCTCTTTCACCAGCTGGACCTCTTGGTCCCTAGAAAACATAAGAAAACGAGTCTATTAAGTGGCTTCCAAAATAATATGGCCAAGCAAAAAGACATTGCTCTTATTTGCATATCTCAGTATTGTTCAATGCATGCGGTGGAGTAATTAAAGTTAAAAGAAAGATGAGTAACTAACTCATCTTGACAGTGGGAAATGCCACTGTCACTTCAATTTAAATAGTACAGGTAACACATATTTACCGGTTGGCCCGGTGATCCATTTGCTCCAGGAAGACCAGTTTCACCCTGTTATGTAAAGAAAACACCAAATAATGACAGAATGAACTTTGGTGAGAAAATTTTTTGGTTTATTCAAGGAGAAGAGACATAGAAATGAGACAGCCCAATTTGTTGCCCCTTTCTGTGTGATGCTCAGCGTCCTCAGCGTGAACTGAGGTCTGTGAGGTCTGAGAAGTCTAAACAAATGCCAGAACAAAATATTTGAACAGAAAAAAAAAAAATCAGGAAGACTTGGTCCTTTAATATTATGCAATAAACTCAGATGATCCAGGCACGTCCTTTCATTCTGGAATCTCATCTTTGTTACGGCTGGAAAATCGTGACATGATGTGGTTCAGAAAGTCTAACTCCTTTGGAATGATTCTCATTCTTTTCATGGAGATATTCAATGAATTTCTTTAATGTTTAATGGATTTTTATAATTGCATAACATGCAAAGCATAGCTATATAACAAATGATGGAGGATATTACTCTACCTATTACAAAGATGATGCTATAGTTTTTTACCTTTGGTCCAGGAGCACCACTGTCACCTTTGGAACCATCTTTTCCATCAAAACCCTGTGGGAAAGGAAAACCGTATCTGTGAATAGTATTCCTTTTGCGTTCTGGAAAACTTGATTCTTCTTGGCAAAATATTAAGCTTCAAGGCAAACTCATATAAAGGGGCACATTATTGATAATGAGTGCTATCATCTATTGGAACACTTTTTGAAAGAAAATTCTGAATTCTCCATCTCTCCATGGCCATTAGTCAAGAGAGGATGCTTTTCTGGAAAGCATGCTTCAGCCCAGCACTTGGGATGGAGCTCTACAATTGAGGAAACAAGACAAAATTTAACAGTCTTTGTTACGGAAGGACAGATTACATTGTCCAGAAATTGATCTTTAACTCAGTCTCTTTAGCTGGGAATTGATGACTGAAAGAGCACAACAGTGCAACACCATAATGCATAAACACAGTGCATAAACACTTCAAGTAGAGTAACAGACTCAGCTATACTCAATACTTACTCGTTGACCTTTCATCCCAGGCATCCCAGGCATCCCAGGGTGTCCCTTGTGACCCTAAACACACATATATAGAAAGATGAATAAATCCCATACTTAATGTATGAAGGGCACAAGCCAATGTTTATTGTGTATCATGTTCACTTGACTAACTTAAAATGGGAAAACAAAACCTTTGATTGGAAGACCATTGTTATTGGGGCTTTTCCATACCGGTAATCCAGGTATTCCACGGTCTCCGTTTCTGCCTGGTCTTCCTGGTTCTCCCTATTGAAAGAAAGTAAATTTTTTTGATTGCTTTGCTATTGCTTCAGTTACTGGCAAAGAACTAGTCCTAGTAGATGAAGGCAAGTCAGAATAAGCAGGTGAAACTTCCACCAAATACAATGGGGAAAATTATAGCAGGGTGATGGTTCAGTATATGTCTGCCTTCTGAAAAACCGTTGCCAGAATTTATAAACTCAATTTTTAATAAGATTTCAGTTAATATCTAATTTATTTCAAGCCAACTTTTAGGAAGAGGTGATCACAGAAAACTTATTTTTCATGGTGAAACACTCAAAATGGACAAAAACTTTAGCTGATTGTCTCACCTTGTACTATACCTATTCAGGACTCCCAGGTGTGACATAAAAGATGGTTTTAACAGCCTTAACTCTCAAAGCAAGACTCGAAGGGAGCAGACAACTACCACTTCTGTCTGCTCTTCTTTATAACTGCTTATTTATTTTGCACCAGATCAAAAGAGGGTATTTCATGCTTAGGTTTTCTTTTTTTTTTTTTTAATTGTGTCAATCAAATTGCCTGCTAAAATTGAAACTTTTTTGGAATGGACATTTATACCTAATATAAGCCAAATCTAGTTTCTTACAGTCATGTTGTCAAACTGAGAAATAGGGAGAGGTTAAAAATTCTTAAATGCAATGGTATCAATGTGCTCTGCTATCTTACAATTTAATGAACTTTCTTTCTTCCCATTTATTAATCTCTGGATGAATAATACTGAACTTACATCTTTTCCTGGTGGACCAACTGGGCCTATCATTCCAACAGGACCTTGAGGTCCCTGTAGAAAAATAATTAATATTAATTATAATAATAAATATTAAGTATCTTTCAAATAAAAAATGCATTAGGTGTCATAAAATACTTGTACATTTGACATACATGATAGTAAACAGACAGGATGCACTGTAAAATTTCAATCCATTCCAGTGATGACACAGATTCAAGCTTGTGAGATCATGCCTTTAACATATATAGTGATAGGTAATGTATACGTACAGGAGGGCCAGGTTGTCCTGGTTCTCCGGGGGAACCTTGGTATCCAGCAGAGCCCTATAATGCAGCAAAAACCCAGTTAAGATGAGAACAGTTACATGAATCATTCCAAATGACGAAAGGGGAAATTAGCAGAACCAAGCAGTATACACCTCCATGAAAACAGAATTAAAACTACTCCTCTAAAAGGAGATGTACATCAAAAAACTCAGACCCTTTGTGTGTTCACGGAATGTATACTAGGATTCCCACTTTCCTTTATCTTCTGTAAGATTTTTGTATGAATAAACATTTGGGAATGTTGACAGAGGATGGATGATAGGCAGTGACGTGTCTTAAGACAACCTTAGTTGACACCCCACAGAACTGCAGAAAGCGCAGGGGAACACACGGACTTAAGTAAGCACAGTATATAGCACTCAGCCATTAAGTCTTGGTGGTATGTAGATGGTACAGCCCAATTAATAGAAGATGACATTTATCCATAAAATTCTTCAGCATAGATTTAATCTGTTGAAAATGTATCTAATATTTACGACAGGGAAAATGAGAGGCTCATATAAAAGAATGAGATGATAATGAAAAGATTAATTTTTACTTACAGGGGGACCTGCATGACCAGGTGGGCCAGGGGGGCCACTGGGGCCAGGGGGTCCTGGAAAGCCAGTCTATAGTGTAGATTAAAAAATAGTATATTACATTAATGGAATATAGCTATAAAGCTTAACGTAGTTGCAAGAGTCACCAATAACTGTGAAATAATTTTTTACATATTAGCACAGAGAAAAATTCACAGTGACATGCACTTGACGCAGTAAAAAAGACAAAACAGTATATATACACATTGTTAAAAACATTGTCCAGTACCTACAGTACCTTCAGAAAAGGTTTCTCTTTGCAGCCTTAGCTAACATACTCCACAAGATATTTGCAAAGCTGTAATTTTTGATTTTGAGTCACTATTCCACTTCTCTAGACTCCCAGAAGGATGCTCGCAGCTTAGCTTTTCAGCTACCTAAACTGGCGGGATAGATAACTGGAACTCTTAATTTGTTAAACAGAATAAATGAGCTTCAGCTTTTCTGCCACATAACTGAGGTTTATTAACCTAACCCTACATCTTCAGTGGTGGAGCCAAAGTGTACTGATAAACTTGCTTGCTAGTCTGTTGATGCCAGATTTTGCTTCCTAAAACTAATTTTAAAATTTCTCACCCGCATTCAGGAGCTATATTACATATACATATACATATACAACCCATTAGAAGAACTTTGTATGATAAACTCTGTTTATGACCCTAGACTTCTTAGGACTTACAGGTATACTGAATTAAGGCCATATTTTTGTTACTTGTTATTAAGGAAAACATTTTCACCACTGAAATATTTTCTGAACTTTAACAGTACTAAGCCATAAAAAATAAATGATGTCTGGACTAACCAAAGGACTCGGAGGATGAAATCTCAATATACGTATGTTTTAATTCAAATCAGTAATACCATTCCTTATTTTAATTGATAAAAAGGGAGTAAAATATTATTAAGGAAATTCTCCATTTGGGAAGAGTGTTAATATTTCTACTTTCTGCAGCAACAACCACAAAAGCATTTGATACTGCAAAACAGAAAACATTTGAAAATTAGCACAGTGGTTTACTGCAGCTATATGTGGTTCCTTAAAAAAAGCCTTTGTTAAATTGAGCTCTTCATGGATTTGATACAGCCAAAACAATTGAAGTATATGAATTACATGAGAATCACTGTGTGCTGCAGTACTGGCTGTATATTCCATAGCTTAATGTGTTTCATGGGATATTGTCACGTGGTGTCAGAATAGGTCATGTATTATAGATGTTACAGGAACATAATTTTGGTAATACAAGATTAAGAGTATAGCTATACTATACTGGTATACGTAGTATAGTATACTACTATACTGTACATATACTATGTTAATATTAGTTCACAGATTGTCTTTTGTCTAAAAAAGAGAATAATTCTATTATTTGCTATTTTCTAAGACAAGAAGTACACCAAGTGGCAGAGCAGTTAGTGTCTGGGTAAATCGGCTTGCCTTCAACCTGTGAATGCAACGAGCAGTCCCTCACTGTTAATTGTTAGAACTCATTTGGTACAAAATAAGTTTGGACTTAGCATGAATTGGAACCATCAACTCATCAATTGCAATCAATCAATTAGACTTATGGCTATAGACATTTTTTTTCAAGGTGCACACTGAGGAGATAAACTGATAGTTAGGTATGGCATTTGCTTGCTGCCAGCATCTCCAGACTGTGAACAAATGAGCAGATTTTAGTTAGAATACGTGCACTGGTGGAAAGAGACAAAGGCAGTGTGTGGAGATTATATGAGCCAGTAAAGAGAAACTGAGAGGTAAAGTACAAAATCAGTCTACAAGCAGTGGAAAACCACTGGAAAGACAGTAGTGGAGAGATGTGTGACTGAGGAAATACCAGGCATGGTAACCACCCATGGACAAATGTTGGTGCTATAGTTGGCATTTTTCATTCTATTACTCTTCCAAATTATTTCAGTTTGGATATTTATTTAAATTGAACGTTTAAGTTGAAAATTGCTAAATTAAATTTATAAATTAATAAATAAATTAATCTATGTAATGTTAGTGATTGAGAAACATTATTTAGTTCTAGCGAGTTTAGTCAGATCTGCTTGTAACTGCTCTGTTACTGGCTTTGCAGTCATGCATTGTGTGATGCACTATAAGAGAACATATGACCTGAAAGCATACAGACAATTCTGGCTGAAGACATTCTAGGGTGCCCAATTAATTAATTTTTTTTTAACCCAAATCCAGGGATCAGAGCACAAGAAATCACTAAGCACCTCAGGCAAAAATGCCAAAATAGAGAGGAGTAAGCATGTTTATTAACTGAAAGGTATCTTGGTTATCTGCCTGGTTCAGCACATCCCATATTAAGACACCAAGTAGCAAAATGTAGATGATGTGATAAACTATGGGTAAAAACTGTGAGGAGCTGAATATGAGTAAATGAATAAACAAATACAAAACCAGATGGCTGAAGGTGACCAATGCATGGATGATCATATTAGCAAATGAACGAGGTAGAAATAAACAGATTAAAATAAAGGTGAGGAAATAATGAACTATATTTCAGGAAAAACAGCTGTCATGATTAGTAAAATTTATTTCACAAGATGATCTGATGGAACTCTGAGAAATAACACATTTGCTTGGAACTGCCTTGAAATGTTACAACACATGATACCCAAACCTTGTTACGCAGCATTGGACTGAAAATAATGCTTATGCTCGATGAAGCAGCAGCCAATTTCAAATAGTCACAATTCACCACATCCTTTACATAGCAGATTGCCTGAATCAAGAACACTCCATGTCATCGGTGGTGAATATCTCTAAATCCCACGGCCTAAAAGGAAAATCATGAGGTGCAACATTCAAATTTATTTTATACGGGAAGCATAGCTCATGCATAACTCTTTTAGGCAATCCAAATCTCACTAAAAAAAAACGTGAAAAGCTTGGGCCAGGCCTAGCAGGCAGATACAGCATCCTTAATACACAGTCTGAATAGCTGTGGGTAAAAAAATGATAATCATAAAAAGAAAAACGGAAAAGCTTTTGAATGCTTCTGGGATGAAAAAAGGATTATAAGAGGGGTTTGCTCACTGGTTATCAGGCAAATTTGAGTTGTGGAAAAGTAAACAAATGTGGAGTATCATATTGCCAAGCAAACTGCTGCCTTACATCGCATTCCACTTGCAGGTAACAATTAAATTAAAACTTATCTTGTTAAATTAAAATCAGGATACATACACATCCAAGGTATAATCTATGAGCAGAAAATTTGTTCTTTAAAAAAAAAGAAAGGACAGAAAAAAGGCTGTATCATCTTACAATGGGCTGTGGGTAACCAATACCAGCTGAACCGGCCTTCACATCATAGGAGTCATACTGTGGAGAAAAACTCTGTAAAAGAAATAGAGAAAAACAGAAAGAAAAAAAAAAAGAAAAAAAAAGAAAAAAAAAAGATGATTGCTACAAATCAAATAAGTTTTTTCTTACATTGGTATGGCAAATGTATGGAAATAACTCATTTGTATCTATTGAATAGTACTTGTTTGACATAGAGCTGCTGTATTTCTAAATCATCCATAAGAGAAACCCAGCCAATATCTTTCTTTTGTGGTCATGGTAACGTTAGCTCCCTATGCTGTGTGCACCCAGTTTTCCTCTTGACAGCTGGGCCTCAGCTGAGCCAAAAAATTACCTTTCTCTCTCCTCTTCTCATTCTTGTTTGACTCCTTTTAAGCTTTCCCCCCCATTGCCTTTATCAGCCTCTTTTCTGTTGGCCTTAGTTTGTCACTCAAGGAAGTTAATGAAATATTTCCTGTTGCATTAAAGAATGCAACAGTTTAACAGTTTATTATTAGTCTCCTCATTTCTTTTAGCTGTGACTAATGAATGTCTCATTTCAGAGTATTTTGTAGCAAAAAAATCTTTTACCTAGGTATAAGTCTGTCCTCCCCTGAATTACAAATAATTTTTTTTTACCCCATGCATGGGAACTTATGCATCTCAGAAAACTGAGTGTTACATTTTTTTCCTAATGCCATTTAACATCTCTCCCTTTCTCCCTTCCCGTTCACTATGTCACTCCAAATAATTAAAATACAACCACCACTTTTGAGCCCAAGCAGCCAAGCCTCAATGCTTTTGAAAATTTATCTTGAAACAAGTGGAAGCTCAGTCCAAGGCATGGACTGAAAACACGTCCTGTGGGCCTTTCTGAGAGCAGATAGCATCTTTGACACACCCATTTACATAAAATGCTGTTTAAAAAAAAGAAAACTATAAATTCTACAGTCAGTTTTTCAAGGAATTCCCATGTAAGCCTCTTAATTGGCATATGTTGATTTTATTATGCATTTGTTAGCAAACTTAATTGAATAATATGGCATTAATGCAGTTTATGCATTAATGGCACATAGGTGGTTGAGCAGGAAAGGTTGAATACATGCAGTGTTCTGCCTGGTAACCCAAACCACTGTGGACCCAGCTCCTTCACTGACCAGGTACAAGACGACTCCTGTGCTACTGATACCAACCCTCTCGTCAGGATTCAACAGCACATCTTTGATACAGCATTGGATGGGTGACTAATTCAGCCTATCATCCTCTCCTGTGTCTGCATCTGCCAACCCAAACCCAGTAGCTCTCTTGGTATGTTATTGTGATGTCCACTGAGACTGCTTAACCGATCCATGGGTACCTCTCCCAGAAGCTCAGTCCTTCAGATGCAATCCCTTTCAGAATTAAATAAAACCAAGACATCTTTCCTCAGTTTTTGGCTTATCTGGGAGTGGGAAGCATACATGGAAGCTATAAAGAGTGGCCTACATTCAAAAGTAGCAATTGTTTTAACATATGATTTTTAACAGTTTTGTGCTAAAACAATCCCATCTTGGAAAGCTAGGCTTGCTCGATTGCATGGAAGACAATGTCATCTCTTAACAAAGCGCTAGCTGTGGCTCAGCTGCCTTAACAAATCCAACTGCACAGAAACTTTAGTTAAAATTAGCACTCTTGCTGAGACTGCCCAACTCTTCAGAAAAGAATTCAACATTCAGTGGGCCAGAAATAAAGAGGGAACATGACAGATAGTACTTAGATGGCACTTCCCTGCAAGCAGAGGACTTGTGTTTCGGTTTAATCTCCTGGGAATATTTCTTTATTAGATAAAATATAGGAAAGCAAGAGAGTTCCCTAACCATTAAGCTTGAGGGGACATACTTCCTCCCGCACACTTTCTTTCTGGTTAGATTATTTCTGAGTCACTGTCCTGGTTTCGGCTGGGATAGAGTTAATTTTCTTCCCAGTAACTGGTACAGTGCTGTGTTTTGGATTTAGGAGGAGAATAATGTTGATAACACACCGATGTTTTAGTTGTTGCTAAGTAGTGCTTACGCTAGTCAAGGACTTTTCAGCTTCCCATGCTCTACCGACTGAGAAGGCTGGAGGTGCACAAGAAGCTGGGAGGGGGCACAGCCAGGACAGCTGACCCCAACTGACCAAAGGGATATTCCATACCATGTGGCGTCATGCTCAGCATATAAACTGGGGGGAGTTAGCCTGGGGGCGGTGACCGCTGCTCAGGAACTGGCTGGGCATCAGTCAGCGGGTGGTGAGCAATTACATTGTGCATCACTTATTTTCTATATTCTTTTATCATTATTATTATTATTTTCCCTTCCTTTTCTGTCCTATTAAACTATCTTTATCTCAACTCACAAATACATTTTTTTTTTTTCTTTCCCGATTCTCTCCCCATCCCACTGCGGGGGGGGGTGGGGGGGGAAGTGAGCGAATGGCTGTGTGGTGTTTAGCTGCCGGGTTAAACCACAACAGTTATGTAAGTCCTTCATCAGATCTGGCTCCAAAATTTTTAAAAACTAAGATAAAGCAGAGATTTAATTGCACTCCAGCCAAATTTTGTGGACAAAACCCCAAAGCAACAACAAAAACCTACCTACCACTCAGCTGTGTTTTTCAGAGGCACAAATGAGAGACAGATGCCACTGAAAGCAAAGTACGTGTGAAGATGCAAGGGGCTAGGTGCCTACAGTGTTGCTTTGTATGCTTATGAGCAACAAGATAGAAGCTGAATGTAATGATGACTTACGCCTCCGCTTATACTGGGACACGACTGGCAGATCCCAGGGGGGCCGGGAGCTCCAGGACTCCCTGGCTGTCCTGGAGGGCCAGGGGCACCGTTTCTGCCTGGAACCCCAGGAGAACCCTGCAAAGACACAAACAGAGCAGATACAGACGTCGGCACTTGCATCCAACTGCAAGGGCATCGTGGGACAAATCCTTCCATTTGTAACAGCCTGTGCGATTGTGGTGGGGAACTTTCTGTATTAAACGTAACTAAGACCACAACTGAACATTCAGGGAAGACATAGACAGTAGGCGAAATTCACACATGGAAACACTTTGTAGTTGCTGGAGCCTTATTGCAGCTGATATTTGATTAAACTCACTAGAAATATTAAACAGATCAATTCTTGAATCTAAAATTAATACTGCTAGTGGAGTCCATAGATTTTTCTTTTTTCTACTGGGAAGAAATATAACAAAAAATAACAAATGTAATACAGTTTGGACTAAACTCTCTCTCTCTCTCTCTCTCTCTCTGTGTTTCCAGCTTAAATTTTTGAGAGTTTTGTTGAAGCTAAAGGGCTACTTCAAAATAAGTATATGGCACAGTCCTGCAGACAGTGCAGACATCAATGAAAGCTGGATACCTCTGCAACTTGAATGGGATATGTAGCACTATAGGAATTGGCTCTTGATTTTGTTAGTTTCCTTGGGAAGAAAAAGCGCTGCACTTACAGGGTCTCCTTTGGGGCCTTGGTGGACTACTCCAGGAGTCTAAAAAAAAGGAAAAGTAAGTAAATTAAGAAAGAAAATTAAAATAAAACCAAAACCTGAAAATATATATATATATAAAATAAGAGGAAAACACATTTAAACATTGGAATATAGTTTTATCAAATGAATGCCATTTATTCTTATTCAGTATATTTAAAAGCTGTGGGGTTTTTGATCAGTCTTTCATCTGCATTTTCACGGTTCATCCATAAAGCTACGCCTTCCTGTAGGCAAAAACAGGCATTAATGAAGTCATCAGGGCTTTGCCATGGAGTACAATGGGGACAGAAGTCCACTGTGGAAAACTGTAAGGAACAGTTTTCTTCTATCCTTCTCAGTCCAGCATGTTAAGTGTGATAATGTAGCTAATTTTAATTTCTCAGCTCTACTCCTCCAATTTATTTATTTTTCAGTTAATAATTCAGTTACATGTTACTATCTGGATTCTCAGTTAATAGTTCAGAACAGTTTTTATGTATTCAGCTGCTAGTGGTAGCAAAGAATATTCAGCTGAAACTATCTTGGATCTTTCAAGGTGGCATTTCCCTATACACCATCCAAAGTCAGCAGGACAGCTTCCAGTGGGCTGACCAAATTCTTATGTATTGAAGACAGAGGCTGGAGGAAGTAGTCCACATGTTTTGTATTATCAGGAACCACAGAACTGATAAAAGAGTCTCTAGACTCAACAAGAGAGGGAGCTGTGCTTAAATCTCCAGCATACTTGAATGTACCACTTGTTTACACCCCTAAAACCGTTCAATGAAGTAGCTCAGGTAATCCTGGAAGCAGTATAGTTGCACTAGCATGGTGCAACTAAAACTAGGTGACGTATTTGTGTATGACATTTCATGTTTAAGCAGATATACTATAGAGCTGCAGGAATACACATTCCTTTCACTCTCTTCTTTTATCTTCTGGATAAGAATCTTCAATGTGCCTGTGGAAATCTGTGTACTTTAACATAATCTCTTGGACCTTAAACAAGGATGAAATGTTCAGATAACCTTAGAGCTCGGTATAGCGGGCTCACTCACTGAAGCGGTTTAGGCAGGAGACTTCGCATGCACTAACATTTTTGATTTTCCTGAGGTTAAGTTGCTGCAACTGGTTTAGATAATGTTGGTGTCTACAAACAAGATGATGATAAATTAGGGATGTAGGGCTTGAATCACCTTCCCTTTACAGGGCATTAAGTCAGCAATAACGCTGCAAAAGGAAATTTACTCTGTGATGATGAAGAATTGAGTTGATAAGAAATGCAGACTTGCAGTATGCTGTGAAAATTATCTAACTTTCTTTAACTCTGTGTTGACATTACTTTCATGGATATAGATTGAGCATGCAGTCAACAAATAAACTCTCTGCATTAGTCCTATGCTTCTCCATAAAATGAAAAATGTACTGGCTAATTGTTGCCCTCTGTCCCTTTCTATTATTTATCTGTGCCTGTTGTCTATGTAAAACTGGGTTGCAGGACTTCATGTTTTCAGCTGCAGAGCCCAAAGGACTAATCAGTATTTTCTCAGATCTGGTACCAATTCTCTGATAGAATACAGAAGTATTCTTGAATTTAACAAAAAATATAAAACTCTGTGAAAGTTCAAGCTGGTTTTTTATTTGATTTGGCAAAATTTGCCTACCCTAAGTATTTGCCTAGAGTCAGAAAGTGACAAGCTTAGCATTCAAAAGAAAAGTGTTTAAGAGCATCTAAAAGAAAATGCATTGAGGTTGACCTGGATCAAGAAGGTGGCAACACCAAAGTAACAACATTGAGAACAAACTTACTCTTGTAGGTTGTGGTGTTGTTTGTGGACAAACTGGACAGCACTCTCCAAAGGGGATCTCTGGGTTGGGACAGTCCAGCTCCTGATCGTCACAGATGATGTCATCGCAGAGAACAGATCCCGAGTCGCACACACAGATTTGGCATGGCTCTGGTTTCCAAACATCCCTGTCAGCATAAGCCTGCCCAAGATGGGTACATCCTACAACTGGAAAGAAAGACAAAATAGTGTTCAATAATATTTCAAATGAGTTTTCCAAATTACAGATGAATAACATGAAAGCCGTTGGATAGTCTGTTTTGTTTTCTACTGTAATATAGTTTATGTGTGTGAAGTAGAAAGCTAAATACTTCTCTTCAGACACTGGGAGGATCTGTTACACTAATTGCAGAGTCTGCTCTGAATCTATAAATAGACATCAATGGAAACCTCCTGGAGCTGATCCAAAGCCCAATTAAATCTGTGATAATCTTCTGTCTCGAGTAATTTTAGTGTCAGACTGAGTTACCATGTAATTAGCAATTGAATTCTCTGCTGCAGCTAAAAAGCAAACGTGCCAAATCTTTCAAACAAGTGTATCATTGACCCCCATGTGCCAACATAAGCACTTGCACGTGGATGCAGAATAAGCCGTCTGTCCAGCACGAACTCTTGCCGCTAGCATCTTGCATTAATAGCTAGCACCAAATGTTTTCAAAGCATTTTTTGAAAGCCAATGTATGCGATAGATCTAAAAGAATGTTCACATTAGTTGCCCAAATGCTTTGCAATTAATGTGTCATCTGGCCTGCTCAAATGTTCCAAGTGTCTGTATTTTCAGAAAAAACATTGTTCACCTGTAATATTCATGGCTTTGTGAATTCCTTCCAACAGCTGTTCTACTGATCAAATTTGTTGTAGATAATGAATTTGAAGAGACTGATGAAAACCGCCTTCAAACATTAAATTTTGTGTTTGTATTTTCTTAGAGAAACAAGATCCAGAAAGCCCGTTCATTTAAGCAACCAATATGAAAATAACACTACAAAGTTAGACAAGCTCTTTGTAAGTTTTGTAGAAGTTATTAGAAGCCTCAGATTGCAAATATACGTATCAGTGAATGTCTTGAATTATGGAATAAGATTTTATCATGAATAATTCAAAACAATTCGGTTTACAAACACAAAATTTTGGAGAAAGGCCTATTTGTGTACCTACACTGTCCTTAAAACTTTAATATCAGAATAAGTTACCTACTACACATCACCCTTCAAAAAGAAAAAAAAAATGCCAAAAGATGTAATTCAAAGGTCTGGCATTAAAATTACCACTGGCTCCAGACAGAAAATTCTAAATGCCATCAAATTGTTGTAATGGTCATAATTACGTAGTATGAGACAGAGTCCAAATTTATAGTGCAGTCCATTCCTATGTGTTATGCAGTCCCTTTTTCTTTTCTCACATGCGGCACCTTTCATCTCTGTTTTTTCTCTTTTCCACTACTGCGTTAGCACACTGGTCTCTTTTTTCTCTTTACATTCTTTGTTTTTCTTTCTCCCTGTATTTGTGGGTATCTGTTTCCATACCCACACCCATGCTCTTTGGCATGGTACACACTTGGATGCGTTTCCTCTCTTCTCATGCTGCTTCTGCTTCAGTCCCTTTTTTCTCTATTCAGCTTCATCTTTCCCATAACATGTAACTTACCTTTTCATCTTCCCTGAATCCTCGTCTTTTGTACCTGAACAGTTCACCTTCTTTACTGCCATGTACTCAACTGAGCTTAGTTTTTCAGACTCTGCTCCCTTCCCAGTGTCTCACTCAGCTGCTTTTCCTTGTCCATATTAACCCGACTTTTTCCTCTGTGCCACCCATGAAATTCATCACCTCCTTGTATGAGCTCTGTCAGGGCGATGGGGAATACAACCAAGACCTCCTGGCTCACTGAGTGGAGAACCAGGCTGGGGATCTTGGAGCAGGGCACAGCATGGGACAGGAGGTTTCTTTTCCCAATTTCAACCCCACTACGGGCTTTCTGCGTACATCAACTTATGTTATTCCTGCACTTCAATTACAAAAGCAGCAAACAGGAAAATGTTGACTTGTCAAGGCTGACACTACTTATGGTTAAGAGTTGGTTTTGACCATCAGCTTGATTAGAAAAAGAAGAATATGCAAAAAGCTTCAAAAATCCTTTTCAGACATTTTCAAGCCAATATTTTTTTCTGTGTCTGATATCAGGCTGGGAGCCATTATTTTACCTTCCTTTGACAACGCAAAAAAATCTTAAAATCTAAAACATTCCAGCGGCATATGAAAACTAATCCCCTTAAGACATTTTATACCACTTAGAAATTCACTTTTTCCTTTTTCCTTCGCTTGTCCACCCTTTGGACCTCACCAGAAACTTCAGGTCCTGTACAAGAGGGGTGGAGAACAACTGCTTATTTCCAGGACAGCATCTTCCTCACACCCACCATGACAAAGGGTCACGGCATCAGCTGCTGCTTCAAAGGACATCGCCTAACAGCCGCTACCTCTGAAGAGGATCTAGACATCCTTTCTTAGTCTGCCAAGTTAGATACAGTTTCTAAAAAAGTTGCTTGGTTTCCCAGCTCTCACACCACAGAATCATGTCAGTGGATCCCAGGTAAATAAGCTGATTCTCTGCTTAATTAATTGCTGACTGTTTCTGCAAGAAACTTTTTCCTCCTTTAACAAACCAGGATTTCACTGTGGGCACTTAGGAAAAAAACAAACTGCCCAGCCTTGACAAGAGCAATGACAAATGTTTCCTGACAAACAAGAAGGCTGAAAAGTATTTCAAAAATGAGAAGTGCAGCGTTGTGAATGAAATCTTTTTTATAGTCTCTCTAATGACTCATGAAAAAAACCCCGAATTATCAAGTGGCAAAAGCTGAGTAGCTCAGTGTAAGAGTGGTTCGCTGTATACAAGGAGACCTCGAAAGCAGTACACGGTGGAAGGGAGAATACCATCTAAGCTACTGGGCAGGTTAGAGCTTGTTATCCGTCTAAAAGGAGCTGGCTGGATACACCCTGGAGAGCACGGGTGGGCATAGATCCACTTCACCCAAGAGTGATGTACTCAGCTGTCACTCTGCTTAAGCACTTCCCAGCTCCACAGGTTAAAACGTCCTTCTCATTTACAAACATAATGAGGAAGGGAAGAGATGATTTTTCTAGTTTAGGGCAAAACACAGTTTATACATAATTGTTAAATAAAAATACCATGATACAGATCTAAAAGAATTAATAGTTACTGTGTGCACATGTGATGTGCAGTCATATGAATTGCATACACATATTAAAAAAATGCATGGTGTACGCACACTTCTGTACCCATAAGATGTGTTTGATTATTTTTAATATTCAGACTTTCAGCTCTCGGTATCACTCTCTCATCCTTTCAAAACCACATTTTTTTTAAACTGTGTTTAAGACAGCAAGGTTCTTATTCACTAGGAAATTCATATCCAAGAACTTGCATTTTCATATGTCAATTTTTTCTTCATCCTTACTTTATTTTCTTTGATTTGTTTTGTTGTTTTGTAATTTCCAATGATGTGATCCTGCTGCCTTACAGTGAAGAGGACAGCTCAAATAAGGAGCAGAAAAGGGCCATCTTTCCCATATTTTTGCACTGCTGGTTAGAAAAATTCTGTTTTCAAGACAGCTGCTCTTCTCTGAAGTAAAGGCCTTTCTCAGTGACCAATTTTTCACAGTGAGAATACTCACCTTTCCATATTTTAGTCAACAATATTGATGAAAATCACGGAAATTTAAAATGTGTCACAAAATGACTAACATAATTTTACAGTAATAAGGAAATAAAGCAGATTTCTCTGCATTTTTACAAGGTTGTCATTCAATTATTCTACAGTAGATGGCATCATTTAACAGAAAGAAAAGACAAAAAATTGAAGACATCTGCATATAATGACATTCATATTTGCTTCTAACTTTGTGGGCATTGTTAAATGAATTAAGAAATAAGCTAGGAGAGCTGCAATAAAAATCGTTGCGGCCATTGGCAGAATGGAAGTATTAAATCGGTTTCCAAAGGAAACTTACATCTGGGAAGACTTAGTCTGTTCAAGACACCCCCTCTGTGCTCAGATGTAGATCTGTGTGTCAGCATGTTATGACATAATGCATTTTGCATTGCTCATAAAGATTAACCATTAGCTCCAAAATCCTTTGGAAAGCTGATTTGTGCTAAAGCACTGGCAAGTAACATATAGCAATAATAAGGTTATAAAAAAGCTGACTTGCCTACTTCTAGACTTGCAGTAAAACAGTCACATACTTGCCTTAGCCAGCTTTTCTTATTGATTCCTAAACATATATATTAGCCTAAGATTTAAAAAAAATTAGAACTCAACAGTATTCGCCTATGGCAATGCAAAATCTTACTCTTCTTCCCAAAGCCTTAAATACAGTGGCTATACAGCACTTCACTTCTATGACAGCTATTGCAATGGTTTGTTGGAAGCTGTGTCAATCTCTGATTCATTGTAGAAAACATTAAAGTTTAATATTTGAAAGCCTGAATAACTTTGCATTTATGCTGTTTACTGAGCATTCACATTTTTAAAGATTTTGCTGTGAGTAGCATTTCCCTGGGCCAGCCTAAAAGTGAAGAAAAGAAAAAAAGGCAACACAATCTTTGTCATATACCGGTTTTGAATTATTTCCCATTTTCTAAGCAGATTAGCAGCTGTAGGTAAGCAGACCAATATGGAAAGCTGAAAGGAAAATCACCATTAAGTCTCAAAGGGCCTATAAGTGTAGTACATAAAAAAGCCTAAATGTGTACAGGGGAAAACAAATGTGGTCATTGTAGGCCTGAAGGATGACAGATATCATATGGGACATAATCCCGATTCCAGTGAGGTGAATGGGAGTTTGTTATCGAGTGCTATGACCTGAGAAGCTGACCTGTTTTGCAGTTGCTTTTGGCTTCGCATTTGTGCAAGCGCTGTGATCATGACTAAACAACATTTATATGGCAAAAGGAAAAAATCTCCTAATAGCATCCTCAAAAACCACAGGCTTTTCTACTTTGGACAAGGCAAATGTCCAGATATTGCATTAGTAGCAGACTCACATGTCCCATTTGCAGAGATGTGACTAAATGGTTAGAAATTAAAGAACATCTTGAACTTGTCTGGTTCTGCCTCAGAAAGGGCAATAGTCCACACAGAGGT